TACACTCTCAGGTCCATACTTTTCCTTTGGAGCGCCACCAAAGCTGTAATTATCTATTTGTATAATTAATCTTATTTATATGTTCTCCTTCCAGACAGAATGTTTTCCAAAGGAAAATATGATGCCTGAATTAAGGTCTCAAGTAAGAACAGGAGGCAGCTAAGAAAAAAGTGGGAAAGAAGAATATTCTAAGCAAAGACTTTGTGCAAAGGTACTGAGGCAGGAAGGAAAGCAGCTACTCCAGAGGGCCAGATGATGCTGAGGAAGAAATGATGGTCATCTTAGCATAGTAGATAAGAAAAGCAAACAGCAAATTTAAGAAATATTTAGCAGGTACAACTGACACTATTTCATGATGGACTCAATGTGACATGCAAGAAAAGTGAACAGATATAAGATTCTATATACTACTATAAAATGTGTTCACATTTCTATATCATCTACGAAACTATTTTGCTTTAATTTAGCTTAAAATGTTTGCTCTTTAGTAATAGTCTATTTAAAGAAATGAACCCTATAGTTACACATAAGATATTATTTCTAACTGTAGAGCACAGAAATAAGGGATACTTTAGGGAGGGTAAAAAAATAGGCTGAACTGTATACAAACTATAACTCCACTGACGTATTTTGCTTGGCTGAGGAAGAAACTAGCTAAATGACTAAAAAGAGATAACATTTTTGTGCACCTACCTTGTATCAGGAAAGGCTATACTATCAACTAAAGTATACTTATGGTAATATAACGTGCTAAATAGTGGAATAAATGCAAAGCTACAATAACGTTTATTTCAGATTTAAAATATTTGATTTAGAAAATTGAGAAGGCAAGTGCTTCTATAAAGAAGGAAGTGAACAGTATTTGTTGAATAAAGGTCAAACCTCACTGCTTAAAAATGAAAGGCAGATCATCAACACGATAGTTTTTTAATCTTGTAATTAATTTTTTTTTGTTTTACTATTTTTATGGGGATCAGTTGTAGAAACTGGTATGCTAAAACACAGAAAAACAGTCTAGATGTACACATATTCTGGGAATCACAGCAATGGTAATACAGTGAACTTACAATGTATCTAAGAGTCAGATTCAAAAGATAGCGTTAGGGCAATAATCAAGTATGGTCAAACTATTGGAAATACTTTAAAATCACGAGTTAAGTATCTGACTTTATGTACAAACTGCCACAGATGAGTCTTAAATTATCAGTTAATGTTTCTCTATGGCCCTCTAAGGCCTTCAGTTAATTCCCCAATTTCTTTCAAGGGAATGTCTATGAAAACCTTCCCTACAAAGCTGCCCGCTTTAATAATGTATTTCTCTTTTTTGCCAGCAGTGTGAACTAAACTTTAAAGCCACTGCACCATCATGCAGTGCCTATTTCATTACTTACTGCAAATAGTGAGCTGAATTTCCTACACTGTCCAAAAATAAAAAAGCTTAGAGCTGAATTCCCTTAGATTAAATGTGTTCCTGATATGATTCCATTGAAGTACTATTAACAAGTAGAAGTTATAAATGGGCAGCTTAGGATCTAACATATTAAAGAATTAAGATTAGATTTTTTTCTCATATAGAACTGGCAATCTTCCAAAACTCAATGGCTCTCATCACTCAGTGTCCAAGTACAAGTTACACAGAGATACTATGTAGTTGGGTTATTGTTTAAATAAGGAAGCTACACTCGTGGGAAGGCCAGATACAGGATTTCGAAGTTCGTAGATCATTTTTAAGATTTATAAAACTACAGAGAAGAAAATAAATTGAAGACATTCATACAACAAATATTTCAAGTATTTCTTGGCTGTCTACAATGTGCCAAGAATTACCCTGGGCACTAGATATGAACTGAAAGAAACAGCCCTTGCCCTAAATACTAAATAATTCACCCTCTAAAAGGGAAGAGAAAGAAGCAAACCAATAACTACAAGTGCTGATGGTTTTTCACTAAAGCCAAAACGATATTCATAGATCGTTGAATCTAGAGATTTACCTTGTTCATACAACCTAACATTTCTAACAAAAAAGCCAAGAAATGAAAGCATTCCTCCCTGTTCAACTGTTCTACAAATGAGATTTTCTTTTCTCTGAAAGGGCAAAATTTCTATCAGAAGTATTTCAAGATTTTCCTCTAAAAAGTCAGCACATTTCTGTGTTGTAGTAAACAACTTTGTTTTCTACTCTCATTTCTTAACAAAACTACTTTGAAAGCCAGATAAGTCAAAGGTCTAGCCCTGATGGAATAAACGACTTTAATGGCAGGAGAGAATTCTTTCAGAATTATTGCAGAAGTTTGTTTTACATATACACCTGGTAAAGCTTGAACTAAATGTGCAAGTGTCCCATCTCTGCAGAGAAGATGAAAATTTTTCTTTCTGGTCAAAGAATCCTTAGAACAAAAACCTTTGTATTTGAAGATTCAAAGGGCTATACAGTTTCCAAAAGAGGCTCAAGAATAGAAATTTTACTTTGTATACTACTTGGAATACAACTTTGAATTCTACTCCACTGAGTTATAAGGTCCAACGCTCAAAAGTCAGGAGGAGCTAAAAATCATAAAGACATCAGTAATAGTTTAGAGTTATATGCTCAAGGGATGAGATATAGTCTGTCAATTACTCTACAATATCCTTAAAACAGTAGAGGAAATGTTATTTACCATAAGATCTGCTTCAATTTTTTTTCAGTTGAATTGCTTTCAATTTCAAGAATCCCCTGAAATCCAGACACAGCTTTAGAACCCTTTCATATAAAGTGACAAGTGTCAGGAAAGAGAGAGGTACAGATTAGAGGGGGATGACAAGAATATAAATATATATAATTCGAAAAGATAAATTCCACTGAGAATACTTTAAAGACCTTTGAAATTTCAAAAGAGGAAAAAATTACAACTGTAGGAAAGGATTAGAAAAAAGGCTTTATGAAGGAGATAAAGACAAAGTGAAAAGTAGACAAGTCTCAAGAGGGTGATAGCTGACACACATAATTAACAGCATATGTAAATATCAGAGACATGTAGGTTATGTGTAAGAGAGCCTTGGAGGTAAGGCTGGAAAATGGGGCTATACTGTGGAAGGCTATACTGTAGGAAGATGCAGTATTTAATATAGTTAGCACTAAGAAACCACATAAACATTCCAGAGTACAAAAGTATTATGACCACAAGGACACTCGAGAAAATAAATTTGGCAGAAGTGTACAAGATGGACTGTCAAGTACACCTAGTTTTAGCTATCCTCTTTTAGTTCCTCCTTTTTAATCCTACTTGTAGTTTCTCATTCTCAATTCCTTAATCTGTGCAAATTCTAAATTATCCACGTTTTTAAAACATTAGCTAGCGCAACTTAGTAAAAACAGCCAATTTCATAAACATACTCTCTATACTATTATCTACTATTATCTAAGTCATTAATAATGTTAGCTTTAAGAAAATTCTATGGAACTTGACTTCATACATTCTCATCTCCTCTCATACTGACATTAAATTATGTAAACCAATCTTTGAGAACAGTCTTTTAAAATCTGATATAAACCTCATCATAAACCTCTCAACACTGCAATGCACCCAACTCAGCCCTTCAACTTTTTCTATCTACATTTACTCTCATGGTGACTTCATGCAGTACTGTGGATTTAAATACCATCTATATGTTAATAAGTCCCCAATTTCTATCTCCAGCCAAGGCTTCTCCTAACTCCCAACTATATCTGCCTGCCTACTTAACATCTCCGCTTGTTCCACATCTAAGAGGCACCCAAACTCAATATATCAAAAATAGAACTCCTAATCTTCACCTGAAAACCTACTCCTCCTCTTTCCTCCACATCTCAAATAACGGCCACTCTATTCTTCCAGCTGCTCAGGCTAAAAACTTTGGAGTTGCCTCCTCTCTTTATCTCATATCCCTCTCCCACCTAAAACATCATAAAAATCCTGTCAGCTCTCTTCTCAAAATATATACAGAAAACATTTATACATATACAAAATCTAATCACTTCTAACCATCTTCTCAGCTACTATCTTGATCAAAGCCACTATCATTTCTTGTGTGCATTATTGCAAAAGTTTAACTAGACTCCAGCTTCTGCCCTTACTCTCCTTCAATTTATTCTTAACAAAGTAGCCATGGATGGTCTTGTCAAAATATATTTTCTGCTCCAAATCCTTTAACAGCTTTTCTTCTTGCCCAGATAAGAGGCTACTTCCTTACTCTGACTTTCAAGTTTAACATGAATTGGCCCCCCATAGTCTCTCCAACATCTGGATCTCCTATTTCGCTCTCTCTCATTCATTCCACTCCAGCAACACTGGTCTCCTTGCTGTTCTTTCTACACATAAACATGTTCCCATCTTTGGACCTTTAAATTCTCTGTTCCTCACGTCCAAAGCGTCACTCAGATACACAGATTCCTGCTTCACTTACTCAAGTCTTTGCATCAATGTCACTTTTTCAGTGAGAATTCGCCTGTGTACCCCAAGTCACCAGCACATCTGGCACTCAAGATCCCCACTACCTTGTCACACGATGTATAACTTTCTAATATGCTGTATAATTTATTTTTATCATTTATTGTCTCTCTCTCTCTACCCAAGTGAAACTCCACGTAAGCAGGTGTTTTTATCTGCTTTAATACATGGATGAATGAATCATGGAACAAAATAATTTGTTTTATATGAAATGGATGCAAACTCAAGTCTCTCATTCTGCAGGGGAAGAATTTAAGGAGCAGTTTGACTAGTACAAGGTCAAACAGTCAGTAAATGACAGAGTCCAGAATAAAACCAGGTTTCCTTGGCCTAGGCTTTTTTCCATCAGGATACACTGGTGGAACATAAGAGAATACATATGAAAATAAGTTTTAAAAAACAAGCAAACAAACAAGCACACAAATATACATACCACACAGATACAGATACATTTCATATTAAAATACTACCACTTCCAAGTAGTAATATTATATTAGGCAATTGTATACCTACAAACAAAGTTTTATTACTTACCTCTACCCCAGATTTTTTCGATGATATCTGTGTTTTAGTTTCTGTAAATTTATTTGCCTTTTCAAGTTGGGCTTTAAGTTGTTCAGCTAATTCCTTCAAAAAGAAAAGCAAGAAAAATAGGTGTGATATATAGTTTAATTCTTCATTGCAGAATATTTCAAACTTATACAACAGAAAGGAAAATAGCATAGCAAACACCCATGCAGCCATCACGTAAATTCAGTTACCAACTCACAGCCTAGTGTATTACTTTTTAATGAACTTATCTCAGTTACAAACTTCTCAAATACCTGTGGCATTTGTTTATGCTTTGAAGGTAAATAATTACAAGGACATATATTTTAGGGGAGATAGGGAGATGGAGGAAATACATAACCTTAAGAATGACATTTTTATAATTCCTTAGATATTATAAACTTCCAATACTCAAAATTTCAGTTATTTATAACAAGGAAGTCATCACAACATGTAAAATATTACCTTATTACTGATAAGTAATTGAGATAAAAATTCTGAATATATTTCATTTTTACTCTAGGAAGTCAATAGGAATTCATATAAAACAAGTGACATATAAGGCAATAAATCACAAAGAAATAAATTAAATAAATAGATTTATACAACAAGCAAAGAAAAGCATTCTCCACTGAAATGGTTCCATGAGCACAGGAACACTTCTTTTAACATAAGGTAACCTCCTAACTTGGTGACCTCTCTTTCACTATTTTAACTAATTCTTTTGTGCTTTCAAAACTCAAACATTATTTTCTTGCTATTGTTATTGTTGTTGTTGGTTTGTCTCTCTTACCAATCTCTGGGCCGAAGTTCTGAGTTGAAGTTTATGGTTACCAAAGACCAGATTCAAAGACGGAGAGCAGCATATCCAAGACATGCCTTTTATTAGACATACGAACTAATAAAAACAGAAGTATCTTGTTTGGCCACCTTTTGTTCTACTGAAGAGTGTTATACTGATGGTATACCAAAACAGAAGACTACTTAAAGATCACTTATATTTGGGTTTGAGATAAGTACATACGTATGACCATGAGGGAATCTATTCTGTCAAGACATGGAAAGCTGTCTGGCTTTACCACTCTACCATGTGCAACGTGACATGTATAACATGAATGTGACAAGATAATAAATAAATAAATAGATAGGTAGCTGCAGCTTTTACCAAATCCTCCTTATTTCGAGTCAATTCTGAGGTAAACCAGTCTTAAATCACAACAATATTATGGGATTTAAATGAGCTAACCTATACAAACCTCTAACACATTATCAGGCACAAACACACTGCTTTAAAATTTGAAAAAGTGAATTAACCATCCTTTTTAGGAGCTCATTTTTTAGGTTCCTAAGTAAGGGAATTTAAGAAAGTAATCAACATTCTTAATAATATATGACTAAAAAAGGGAAAGAAGACATATTTATCTCCCTCAAATATGCTCAATAAGCTAGAAATGTAAGCATAAAGCAAATAGCAAAAGTAAAAAAGAAGCATTTAGTTTCCTAGGTTCTTAAATTTCAGAAATCTGTCAGAAAAAGTAGATAACTTAGGGGCTGGCCCAGCGGGGTAGTGGTTAAGTGCGTGTACTCTGCTTCGGCAGCCCGGGGTTCGCAGGTTCGGATCCCGGGCATGCACCAATGGACCACTTGTCAAGCCATGCTGTGGTGGCATCCCATATAAAGCAGACGAAGATGGGCACGGATGTTAGCTCAGGGCCAATCTTCCTCAGCAAAAAGAGGAGGATTGACATCAGATGTTAGCTCAGGGCTAATCTTCCTCACAAAAAAACCAAAAAAGTAGATAAATTATTTAGAAGTAGGCATAGTACTGTTTTTAGAAGTGTTCAAGAATTTCTTTAAAGAATCAATATGCAGCAGTTATTTTCAAAATGTGCTACATCCACACTGCTAAAGAACTTCCAAAATTAATCGTAAGAAGTTAAATATTTAATTACTATTCTCCAAAAGAACAACTTATAAATCTTACCATATTTCCCATCATTTCTGCCTTGATAATCTTAGCTCCCAACTTGTTCTTCTCATCAACACTCAGGATGTGGATAGCCTCATCCTCTGGACTACTTCTGTTTGAACAGGTCAGATTAACAGCATATGAAATATAGGTATAATGCAAGGAACAACATCAAGACTCAAATGTTACTTTAATTGATCTCAACAAAGCCCTCAGCACCACCAGATCATGATTCCAATAAAAAAAAAAAACCTTCAATTTCCACCATAAATCAATAGTTTAAGGTTCTCTGTTACCGTGCCATGATGGCCTACAGTAGTTATAATAATAACTGACCAAAGTCCCAGTAACAATTAGGTAAATAATATCATTCAACTATTTTTCATTATTTAATATTCACATACTCATTCTAAAAATGAAACAAACATAAATAAATAAAAACACTAGAATCAGGCCATAATTCTAGATATCTGGGGAAACTCTTCTCATTCAATGTGATAAGTTATTGATAATCTAAGAAACTGTAACCAGGAAATGACATATTTAACTGCACTCAAAGAATAAAAACAACGATCACATGCTCTTTTGCAAAGTCAACCCAGAATTAGACAACACAAACTAATTTACAACTAAGATCATGTGCCAAACTTACACTATGGAAGTTTCACAAAAGAAAAGAGAATTTCCAGCCAATGTCAGATTCCTGGCACATAGAAAATGCCCCAGTTTATTACCTTAAGGATGATTCAAGACTACAGTGTAGGGAGGGTGAACCCAGGCAGAGCCTGAAGGACTCCTTAGTGAAGGAGACATAGCTGAGTCCAAGAACTCCAAGGCAGCTAAAAAGGAGAGAGCTGCACAGTGAGAGAATCCCAGAGAACTGCAGAGTTTCCCCTGAGTATTCAGCAAGCAACTACTCATAGTCAGGGAAGGAACTATCCCAAACAGTTAGAGGAACAGTATTCAGCACTCCTGGGAATAGTGCCTGGTCCCACTAACTAGACTAGGAAAACTCATAATTCAGAAAGCACTGGGTATAGTATTAATGGTCTTGCTTTATTAGTGGGAAATAATTTAGCCCCAGACTAAATGCTGCTCTGGGCCCACCTAACAAATGTTAAAAGCAAGAGTCCAAAGGATCAAACAGTTTCCAATTAACTTAACTGTGTCTCAGGACAAAGCTCAAGAATATTTATAAGAATGTAAAAATATCCAGCACTCAACAAAGTAAAATTCATAATATCTACTACACAATCAAAGATTACCAGACAAGCAAAGATGTAGAAAAATGAGACCCATAATTAGGAGAAAAAGCTATCAGTCAAAATCAACCCAGAACTGACACAGATGCAAGAAATAGCAGACAAGGGCATTAAAAGTTATTACTATAACTGTATTCCACATGTTCAAAAAGTTAGAGACAACTAAGATATAAAATAGATTGGAATTGAATTTCTAAAGATGAAAATCACAATGTCTGAGATTAAAAATACATTGGCTAAGATTAATGGGAAATCAGACTGCAAATGAAAAATATAAGTAAACTTGAAGCATTAGAAACTATGCAAAATGAAGCGGAGAAAAAGGAATTTTAAAAAACGAAAAAGAGCATCCAAGAGCTGTAAGACAACCTTAAATACCCTACTATTCATGTCATTGGAGTTCCCGAAAGAAAGGAATGGGAGACAGAGGAAACATAAGCCAAAATTCTCCAAATTTGATGAAAACTAAAAAACTTACATATCCAAGCAGCTCAAGGAATCCCAAGTACAAAAAAAGCTACATGAAAAAAACTACACCAAAGCACATCATAATCAAATTGCTCAAAACTAGTGATAGAGAGAACATTTTTAAAGCTGCCATAGGGTGGAGAAAAAGATATTTTATGCACATAGAAACAAAGATAAGTACGACAGCAGATTTCTTATCAAAAACAATGCAAGCAAAACGAGAGCAACAACATCTTTAAAGTCCTTTAAATTGTCAACCTAGAATTCTATATCAAGTGAAAATATCTTTCAAAAACAAAAGTAAAATGAAGACTTTTTCAGACATAAAAAGCTGAAAGAATTTTAAAGAAAGGCCTTCAGGCAGAAGAAAAATCACACCAGACTGAAACGTGGATCAACACAAAAGAAGGAGCAACAGAAATGATGACTACAAGGGCAAATAAATATATAATACATTTTTCTTATTACTTAAGTCTCCTTAAGATAACTATTTAAACAAAAATAACAATATATGAGAGGTTTATGCAAAGTATAAGTAAAATGCATGACAACACTAACAGAAAGGAGGGGAGAATGTAAATAAATTACTGTAAAGTTCTTACACAGGAGTGGCATAATATAGGTAGGTAGACAAGTTAAAAATGTATACTATCAAAGCTAAAGAAACCATTAAAATAACAAACAAACAAAAAATGAAATAGAACCACAAAAATACTCAATTAATCCAAAAGAAGCCAGATAAAGAGCAAAAAGAGAATAAAGAACAGATAGGACCAACAGAAAACAGATTTTTTACAGATTTGAACTTAATTATATCACATTACATATAAATGGTCTAAACACCTGAATTAAAAGGCAGAAATTGTCAGATGAATAAAAAAGCAAAACTCAACTACAAGAAATGCACTATAAATATAAAGACATAAATATGTTAAACATAAAAGGATGGAAAAAGATGTATCATGTTTTAACACTAGTCAAAAGAAAGCTGAAGTGGCTTCTTTAACGTCAGACAAATTAGATTACAGAGCAAAAAACATTACCAGGGACAAAGAAAGTCATTTCATATGAAAGAGAGGTCAATGCATCAAGAATGCAGAAGAATTCCTAAACATTTACACATCTAATAACAGAGCTTCAAAATACATAAAGCAAAAACTGACAGAATTGCAAACAGAAACAGACAAATCTACAATGATAATTGCAGATTTCAAGAACCCACTCTCAATACTTGATAGAATAAGTAAACAGAAAATCAGCAAGGATATGGAAGACTTGAATAACACTATCAACTAACATGACCTAATGACATTCATGGAATACTCCACCAACAACAGAATACACATTCTTTCCAAGTGCATACAAAACATTTACCAATATAGTCCATATTCTGAGTCATAAAACAAGTCTCAACACACTTAAAGGGATTCAAGTCATACAAACTATGTTCTCTGACCACAATGAAATTAAATTAGAAATCATTAACAAAGATCTCTGGAAAATCCTCAACCATTTGTAAACTAAACAGCATACCTGTAAATAACCCATGTGTCAAGAACAAAATCAGAGAGAGATTAAAAAATTTTTTGAACTGAATAAAAATATAAACACAACATATCAGGATTTGTGGGATGCTGCTAAAGCACTACTTAGGGGGAAATTTATAGCACTAAATACTCAGACTAGAAAAGAAGAAAGATCTCAAATCAATGATCTCAGCTTCAACTTCAGAAAGTATAAAAAGAAGAGCAAATTAAACCCAAAGGAAGCAGAATACAAGGAATAATAAAAATCAGAATGGAAATAAACAAAAAACAGAAACACAACAAAGAAATTCAATGAAACCACAAGCTGGTTAAGACAATCAATGAAATTGATAAATCTCTAGCCTGATTTATCAGGGAAAAAAAAGATACAGATTACCAATAAAGAAATAAGACAAGCAAAATCACTACACATTCTAAGCACTTTACAGAAAGATATCCAGATGGCAAAGAAGCACATGAAGAGATGCTCAACATGAGCGGTGATTAGGGGAATGCAAATTAAAACTGTAATGAAATATTGTTACACATCCACTAGAATAACGAAAATTAAAAAGACTGACCATTCCAACTTCCTGCAAGAATGTAGAGGAACTGGAAGTCTCATACACTGTTGGTGGTAATGTAAAATGATACAACCACTTGGTAAAATAGTTTGGCAATTTCTTAAAATTTAAACATACAAAATACAGTTACCATATAATGTAACCATTCCTTTCCTAGGTATTTACCCAAGAGAAAAGAAAGCATACATCCATACAAAGACTTATACCTGAATGTTCAAAGAAGCTTTATTTATAATAGCCAAACACTGGAAACATTCTACATGTCCACTAACAGGTGAATGGAAAAACAAATCGTGGAATATCTACCAATGGCATACTACACATCAATAACAGGTAATGAACTGTTGTTATATGCAACAACATGGATGAAGCTCAAAACAATTACGCTGAGTCAAAAAAGCCAGACCAAAAAAGAGTGCATAACGTATGATCCCATTTATATAAATAAACTCTAGAAAATGCAAACTAGTCTATAATGAAAGAAAGAAGATGAATGTCTCGGGGGTTGGGAGGGTCTGCAGAGACGTGGGAGAGAGGGATTATGAAAGGGTACTATGAAACTCTGGGCAGTGATGGTTTCATTAAAATATACACACTTCAAAACTTACCAAATTGTACACTTCATATACATATATATACACGCAGTTTATTATGTGTCAATTATACCTCAGTAAAGTTGTTTTTTAAACCCTCAAAAGGGAGTGATTTGAAAAAAATTTTTAAATAGCAAAAACCTCTGTCAATCTCAAATATAAGGGATATATCTATGATATTACTAGTTTTGTCACCAGACCAAACGTGAGTCCCCTTCCTGGAGAGTTAAATCAAACTACACCAGAAGCAGCTATCACACAAAGCAGAAATTTTATCTGCGGCATGCAGTAAAGAAAATGGAGACCATAAGGAGTAATCTCACAGAGCTATGGCTACCCGAGCAGGGGAAGCCGGTGCCTTTTATTGGGGTAGGGAGTGAATATGTAAAGAGGAAACTTTATCTTGGGGCTTGCGCACCTCTCCCTTCATGCGCATGGCACCCCATCGCTATCTTGGATCTTTTTGGTTTGGGCCGGTTCTGTGGTTTTGCTGTCTGAAAACGTTTTGTCTCAATGTGCCGCCTTAGTTCCTGTAGGCAAGCATAACTTCAAAACAAGTGCTAGGTATGGAAAGTTGTTTTAAGGAATTCCCAATTACTAGGAGAAACTGCTAACTGCTGACAAGGCTTTTCTTTTTTAAGCAACTAAGCAACAAGCAACTCTTTAAGCCTAAGTAACTCTTGAAGCAACTTGGGGC